TATATACATTTGCCTTTGTGCCTCGTTCACAATTATAAAACAACGAAAATTAATTTTCGCTGTCTTAACATCCAAACATCTGGATTGGATCCATAGCCTGTTTATTGTTCGAATTATTTTAATATATGCAGACCTATATTAATATTAATATACTTTTTTGTTTAATACATATTTAACCATAGGATGTATAATGTTATAAAAAAAAATAAAAATTCGGTGAATCGTAAATTGTAAAGTATATTTGTAAATATATGAAACATTATTAATGCATCACAAGTTGTAATTAAAATAATTAAAAACACTATACTATAAGATGTACAAAAAATATATGTATATAAGTGCATGTGTTACCATAATAGCTGCTTTTATATTCTAAGTGATGAACTATAAGGTCAAGAAATATTAATTGTTTTCTGATTATACATATAGCATAACGGATTTTTTTCGAATTTTTTGTTTATTGCAACACTGTTATACACATTTTACATTGCTAAACAGATTCGACATTTATCATTTAAAAATAGTACGAAACGTAAATAATACAAAGAAAAGTATTATAAGATAATTTTTTAATATCACAATTCATCGCGTTGATTGGAAGAAGAGTATGTTAACGTGTAATATTTCTGCTGTGTAGAAAAATGTTTCATAATACTGCTTCTGTCTTTCGATTTGATAGTTGCGAATTGATATCTTGCTTTCAACTTTATCAGACTTCAGCATTATGGAATCCTAATATATATAAAAGATTTAAATTAAACATTAAAATCAATATACTGATTATATAATAATCAAACAAATATAAAATTAATAATCAGAATTTAATAAGAGAGATAGAACAATACTTCTTTTTCTTTCGCTTTCCATAATAATATTTATTTTTACCTTTCTTTCATTTCTCAATTGATAAGATTGCGTGGAACTTGAACCTTATAACGTATTCCTTATTTCCTAAAATGTATTATTAGTAAATAACATTATTATAACATTATCAAAATTATTTAAACATTAAATAATAATTATTAACATTGCATTATTATCACATTTTGTATACATATATAAATATATAAAATCTGTACCTCAGTTAGATTTACGGAATATACGTTATTAATAATAATAATTAATGCTGCAGTTACATCAACATTCTAAAAACGAAAAAACAAATGTATATATAAAACACAATATATTTTGACAAAATATTTATAAAAATATGTCACGTTACTTGGTCTTATGTTAAAAAAAATGTCATTTAATATGTCCTCAGGATTTTCGATTCTTCGCATGCTTCGTAATAATATGTAAGAAACTGTTAAAAAGATATTGATTTTCTAATTTAGAAAAAGGTTTATATGTTAAATAGTTTTTAGTTATATCATTATCTTTACTGCAGCCAAATTCTATAAATTTAGTGTCAGATTTTTTATATCCTATATTATACACTAATTGCCAAGTCTTTTTGTTGGTAATTGTTTTCAAACCGTTACAATATGTCCATTCCTGCCACCATGGCAAAAGTCTCTAAAACATAGTAAAAAATTAAATTTTTTAATTGAAGATTAACATACGGATCTTTTGATCAAATCATTGAACATTATAGCGATACAAGAGAATTTGATTAAGAAGGCTAAAAATATACATATCGAAATATTTACTGTGTTTTGTAGGATCTAAGAGATGATGTTCTATTTCCTGTTGGCTACTTCCTTACAATTAAGGTCATCGAGAAAACATGCCCATCTTGCAGCTTCTTGTCGTAAACATATTCTAAGTTGGTCTGTATCATCAATTTCTTCATATTTGATTCTTTCAAGTAGCGCGCGTAAAATGTATCTTACTCTCGTCTAAAATTGTTAAATATACATTTATTTGTTCATATTATAAATGTATATATATTATATATTATATATATATATATATAAAAAATTATCATATTTTTTTAATTATTTTCCAATAGATTTTTAAAATATTTCTCTTTCTAGAAACAAACATACATACAAATTCACTTAAGACAAAGACGCTACGGTTATCTTTCACGTACATATACATTACGTGCAATTATACATATGTATTATACATGTACGCAAATATGGTTTAATTTGTGTGCGAAATATTTATAATATTTTATAGATATTAAAGTTTCATAACTATTTATCAATTATATTTTATTTTAAATAAGATATAAATTAATATATTGTTTTAAAATATATATAATTAAATTTTTCCAACTCAATATATATGTTTAATTTTTTTTAAATTACTAACATGTAAAATTGATGTAAAGCTATATAATTGCATTTATTGACAAAAATTAAGCACCTTACTACATATCGATAACAATGTTATATACAATAATATGTGGAGTAGTGAAAATCATAGACTTTTTGGACAGTTCTTCGAGTGTGTATTCAAGTGATTATTCAAACTAATTTGTTTGCACATTTGTTTGCGACGTAATAGTATGTAAAATCTTATTTTGCTGGAAATATTTTTTCTAAGTATTAAAATTATTTTGATCAATGATGGTATATGCAAACATTTAAAATATAATATTTTCATGAAATTTATTAATATTTACCGTAATATATCCCTCCATGTTTTCCCATACACGATGAGTATGGCACCATTACGTATTCCATAGCTTTAACATAGGATACCATGCCACATAATCTTCTTCTCGATGCAAATACTCTGTGAGATCCCAGAATATAGAGGCTTTGAGTTGGCCTGCTATCATTACAATGAAATGCATCATCGATTATTTGGGCACGATAAGAACATGAATTTTCGTGCAATTATCTGATTTTAAATAACTTGAAAATTTTCGCCAATTTTCATCATCATAGTTAACGCGATAATATCCTGTTGAATAGTAATGTAAATATATTCTCAATTTTTATTGTTATAAATAATTTTATCATTAATATACTTATTTTCAAACATATTTCAATTTTCTTTTCATACTTTTGTTTATATAAATTATAAATTAAAATGTATGAAAAATTTAATACATATAAATAAAACGCAATTACATCTAATGCACGGGTGAAGCGGCGCTTATACCGTGACACATTCGATGACAGTTGAATGTGTCACTATATAAGCGTCCCTCTTCCGTTTTCGCCACGCGCAAGCACAGTGCAATTATATGGGCTGTCTTTTTTCGCCACGCGCTTGTAGGCGCGCTTATTGGTTGATCTTATTAATTAATTTTTTCTCATTATTATAAGAATTTCGCAAAATGGTACAGGACTTTTCTTCGGTTCGACCTGCTCTACCTGCCTATGAAGGTGATACGCGAGTCCACTCTGTATATATATATATATATATATATATATATATAATATATAATCTGTGGATATATATATATATATACATATATATATATATAATCAATATATATAATAATGCAGAATATACACAAAAATTGTAAACTGTTATAGTTTATAATAAATATCTCTGATTTTCATAGGCAATGAATAATAGATAAAAAAATTAATTTTCAATTATGTGTATGTAAAATAAAGACAAAAACTAAGTCATGATAAAGTCCATTTATTGATATTTACCAACTTGTTGTATATTGAATATCATCCAACCATCCTCTTTTAATGGTATAGATAATTCGATCCCGTGACACGGTTAGAAAATAATGAGTGAAATTGTTAAAATTGGAAGATGTTTCCGTAGTAAAAGTTATAGGAATGCAGCGAATTTCTAATATGTCGATATATTGTATCGATATAGTTGTTTGGCTCATAGGATCTTTATAACTTCGTTCTACTTTAATTAGAGGACAATGCTTCTCCGAAGCCCATTCTTCCATTCTTGTTATTTTAAAGCAAGATTTATTTTTCTAGCAACATTCTTCATAAGATTTACAGAGCCTAGACGATGTGATAGCCTAAGAAAATATTACAAATATGTTAAAATTGTCTGTATAATGAATATGATGTTTTTTAACGGCCAACGAGCCAAAGCACGAAAAATTAATTATTCGGAACTGTATCTCTTGGTTGAGATCACTAAGTTCCATATATAAATTAATCTCGAAACTTACATATAGAGAAATATTTACTAACATCTACTAAAAGGCAAATGAAAAAGATAGGATCGAAGGGTCTGAATAGCTAGTTGAAGAGCAGTCGCCCGGAAAGTGAAAAACACGGGTTCGATTCTCGCTCAGCGACTTTTCGGACCTATATTTTTCGTGCCTATTTCTCTATATTAAGTTTCGAGGTTAATTTATATATGGAACTTAGTGATTCAAACCAGATTACAGTTCCGAATAATTAATTTTTTGTGCTTTAACAATGTTGAAGATGTAAAGAAATATAATGATTCGTCTGTTCCGCATAATTTGCAACGTCAATATAATCAACAACAATATGATCCATAGAACATTAATATTATCAAATATAATCCACAATTATTAATATAATCCATATCAATATGATCAATATAATCGACATAATGGTAGATTGGACTTTTATGGGAGAGAGAATGATAATCCGCAAAATTTTGGTCTAGCAATGTTTGGTTTAGAAATCTGCAATGTTTCATTTCTCAAAACATTAAATTGATTTCATCGAATCAAACGCTTTTGAGAACACTAGCAAGTTGATATATTTGAACTTATCCAAAAATAATATAAGTTACCTACATGCAGAAACATTTGAAAAATTGCAATCTTGAGATTGCTCGACTTGAGTTTCAACAAGCTCGAGGATGTTCCACAGATCTCGAGTGAAACAATTATCAGCATTCTGTCTCTTAATTGTAATAATATTAAGAGTCTAAGTTCGAACGCTTTCGTGCAAATGCCGAAATTGACAAAATTGTTGTTAGGAGGGAATGAGATCGCCGAGATTAATGTTAGGCATTTGCCCGAACTTCGCTCTTAGAATGTTAGATCTGTAAAGAACAAATTAAGTTTTTTACCGGAAGAATGGAGTGAATCTTTCACAACTTTCAAATATCTGAATTTGAATGATAATCAATTTACTTCATTAGAGTCTTTATCTCTGACGAATGCATTGCCATTGATAGAGGTGCATCTGGCGATGAATCCACTAGAATATTTAGATGTTAGCTACTTCAAAAACTTGCCGCAAAATCTTACTGTGAATTTGATGCAGGAATCACATTTTGCTAAACACTGGAATTCCAATGCATGCGAATCAAACTAATATTTTAAGTTAAAATTACAATACTATAGATATTATATATTTCTCTATAAATTCAAATTTTTACAAAATCAAAAGCTTAGGTTTTATATAAAACAGCTTAAATCCGGCGGCTATATAAAATATGAATTTTTATTTTTTTATATTACATAATAATATAATTATTTTACATATACATTTGCATATTTATTTATTATATATCTTAATTATTTACTATATTTAATAATAATGTTTTTATACTTGAAACTATTATTTTTATATACGAATATACATTTATATAGGTAATTATATATATATATAATATATATATAGTATATTGTATGTGTGTGTGCAAGCATTTTTTGTAACAGTATGTCCTAATTAAACATATTTTTATTTTGTCCAATATAATCAAATAAATGTTTTTATAATAAAACCCGTTAAAGAACAGAAAAGTCAAAATGATGATTAATTTGACTATATCATTTTTTTCATGGATTCGATCTCGAAGATGGCAAAAAATGATTTTTATTTTTTAATTTTTAGAAAATGTGATTCACTGGTTTATTATTCAATGCTTATTATGCAATGCAGAGAATTAAATTAATAAAAATTAAAAAGATAAAATTGGTATTTTAAACTAATTAGTTATAATTAAATCACATACTTTTAAAGCAAATTTAATGTTCAACACAAAATTGTTTTCTCAAGTAAACACAGATTGTTTAACAAATTGAACAAAATAAACTTCCAAATAATTTTTAAAATTCAGTTCCCTACAGCTATATTATGGATATCAAGAGACACGGTAGTGTCTCGCGACCAGTTAAGGGCGTAGCGGAGACACCGTGTATCTTAACGCGAGTCGGACATTTGAGTCTTTATAATATTTCGAATCCTCAATAATGGCTGAAGCAATCGAGTTTATACTAGACTTAATCGATAGATTGAGTTCGAATTATATAATAAAAGTGTCTTTATTTCTGCTCTACGTGATTTGTAAGCAGAGATATATAAATGCAAAGTCGAAATATGAAAAATTTCTATTAAGAAACGTCCCCGTCATCATTATCATCATCATTATCATCATCATTATCATCATCGACCACGCATACATAGTAGTATCGTGCTACACGTATTCACACGTATACAACACATGCGCACACATATATCACACGTACACAACACATGCAAGATGCATGTAGTGGTAATTTTGTCCATCTCGCACGTTTTACAACAGATGGCGATAGTGGCGCTCCGCCATATCGGCAGCGTGCGGGGTTATGTTGGCTAACTCTCTCTCTCTCTCTCTCTCTCTCTCTCTCTCTCTCTCTCTCTCTCTCTCTCTCTCTCTCTCTCTCTCTCTCTTCTCTCTCTCTCTCTCTCTCTCTCTCTCTCTCTCTCTCTCTCTCTCTCACACACGCACACACACACACACTCTCTCATTCTCACTCACTCACTCACTGTTCGTCTTGTGTACTTATTTAGTACATTCATGATCGGCAGCGTGCGGGGTTATGTTGGCTAACTCTCTCTCTCTCTCTCTCTCTCTCTCTCTCTCTCTCTCTCTCTCTCTCTTCTCACACACACACGCACACACACACACTCTCTCATTCTCACTCACTCACTCACTGTTCGTCTTGTGTACTTATTTAGTACATTCATGATTAAACATCTATATGCATTAATGTGAAATTTACTTACAATTAGTTTACTTGAAATATTCAATCTCTAAAGTGTTTATCTTATAAGATAGACAAAAAAATCTGAGTAAATAATAAGAAAAAAAAACAAGGATTATTATTGTCATAATTTTTTATCAATTAAGTACTCTCAACTATCCAATAATTAAATAAATACGTACAAATGTGCGCGCGTGTACACACATACACATATTGATATTAAAGAGATTGAAGGAGAGGAAGGAGAAGATAAAAATTTAAATATTCACATATATTTTCAAATATTATATATGAATTTATAGTTTACATATCTAATTAATAATGAATTTCTAATTATATTAAACATATCAAAATAAAGACATACATGTATTTATCAAATGAATAAAATTATTGAATACAGACTTAAAAAATTTATTAAACATAGACTTAAAAAATTAATTAATTAAACATATTCCAAATTTAGAAAAAATAAACTTTATTTATATATGCAACAGCTTTTTAAACTAAATTTTTAAATTCTATTTTATATTAGACAATTATCTCAATCAACATCTACGTCCACATTAGCTGCACTGCAGACTACCTCTACAGCCACATTATCTGCTCCGCGGATATAGCGTTATGCCAATACGATACATTACATGTACTTACTTACTTGCCTTTACTGTACCAACTCTTGTTCTTTCCACGTAATCATGTTTTTACAGTTATCGTTTGCTGTATATCTTCCAGCAAACTTTATTTCGTGTGAAGTGTATTTAATTAATTAAATCTCTGCGAAAGATTGAGAAGATGAAGGGATAATTCAAACTATGAAGACATGGTTACATGGAAAAGACAAGAGTTGATACAATAATAAAGACATACATGTATTTGTATCCTGCTGGCATAAGGTTATAGAAGTTGATTGAGATTGAAAAATAATAATGAAAATAATAAAAAAAATAAAGACACATGTATTTGTATCGTGCTGGCATAAAGTTATAAAAGTTGATTGAGATTGAAAAATAATAATAAAAATAATTAAAAAAAGGAAATATTCAATCATCATTTAAAAGCATATTTGAAATCTGTAGAATAAACAGTTTTTGCAAAAAATGTGGAGCATTTGAGCTCTAGTAAGTCTAAAAATAAATGTAAACATCAATTAATAATAACTGATGTTATATATATATTATATATATAAACCAATTTGTTGCAATATTCACTATAAAAGGTTGTAAGGGTAAGATGGCTAAAAGTGAATAATTTAAAAGATAGTTAACATAATTTTACATAAACTGAAATATTTCATAGAATAAAATATTTGTAATATTTCGAAGTTTATGTAAGATTATGTAAAAATTATACCTTTACAACTTTTTATAGTAAATATTGCGAGGAATCGATTTATATGAGAAAAATTAAGGTAATTCTATTTTGAAAATATAAGTGACCTTTAAATAACCTTGAAAATCGCCGTTTAGGAAAAAGTCTGTGTCAACTTTTTCTTTTTCGAAATCCTGCAACTTTTATCTAAATTTAATAGAAAATGTATAAAAAATGCTCGACATTAGTACACACACACACACACACACACACACACACACACATATGGGTAAATTTATATAAATAGGGTGCTTTAGGAGGAATGATCAGGATTCTAGGATATGATTGTACACATCATTTTAAGCAAAGAAGTTTAGATAAACATGTTTAATAATTGTTCTATTCCGGTCATAAAAATATACAAAAATGAATGATATAATCTCTAAAAACTCACCTTTAAAAAAAGGTAAAAAAAGGCGACCAGTTAAGGGCACGCCATTAACAAAAATTATCCATTGCAAACCCATGTAGAATCCTATCCTATTGCAAACCCATGTAGAATCCTATAAAAAATTAATCATTGCAAACCCATGTAGAATCCTAGGCAAAATTAACCATTGCAAACTCATGTAGAATTGTATTAAAAATGATCCATTGCAAACTTATGTAGAATCCTACATTGCAAACCCATGTACAATAGAATTGTATGAAAAATTATCGATTATAAATTCATGTACAATCGTAACAAAAGTAATGAAATAAAAAAAAAATTGCGCCAAGTGAAAGTAGAAACTTGTACCAGTGGAAAATTAAAGTTGCAGACATATATAGAGTCGTATAATGAATCAGTAAAAATTTAAATTTGCAAATGTAGAATCGTACCATAAAAAAACTTATCTTTAAAAAAAAAAGATAAACAAGATGCCAAGTCCATGCGCCATGTAAAAAAGAAATAAAAAAATTTTAGTTAAAAAAACTGGGAGCGCTGCTAAATAATATTCTAACAATATTAAAATTAAATTGTTACTTTTAAACTCATTACAGTTAAAATATGTTTTGTGTTTAAATTAATTAATGTTACTTTAAGGTGCATTGTAATTTTGAAACTTAGCAGCGCGCCCAGTTTTTTTAACTAAAATTTTTTATTTCTTTTTACATGGCGCATGGACTTGGCATCTTGTTTATCTTTTTTTTTAAAGATAAGTTTTTTTATGGTACGATTCTACATTTGCAAATTTAAATTTTTACTGATTCATTATACGACTCTATATATGTCTGCAACTTTAATTTTCCACTGGTACAAGTTTCTACTTTCACTTGGCGCAATTTTTTTTTTATTTCATTACTTTTGTTACGATTGTACATGAATTTATAATCGATAATTTTTCATACAATTCTATTGTACATGGGTTTGCAATGTAGGATTCTACATAAGTTTGCAATGGATCATTTTTAATACAATTCTACATGAGTTTGCAATGGTTAATTTTGCCTAGGATTCTACATGGGTTTGCAATGATTAATTTTTTATAGGATTCTACATGGGTTTGCAATAGGATAGGATTCTACATGGGTTTGCAATGGATAATTTTTGTTAATGGCGTGCCCTTAACTGGTCGCCTTTTTTTACCTTTTTTTAAAGGTGAGTTTTTAGAGATTATAATAATAACAAGAAAGCTATATTGTATATAAAAATCAATGTCAACGTAACAAAAAGACAAACCACCGATGAAAGTAATAAATAACTTGTAAGTTTGTTTGTCAGCAGTTATTTATTACTTTTATCGGTGGTTTGTCTTTTTGTTACGTTGACATTGATTTTTATATACAATATAGCTTTCTTGTTATTATTATATTCATAATTTATATCTCTAGTTGACGTTGAATTTTTACCCAGAATTATTTGGTTAATTTTGTTCCTTTCGTTAACATCGCTTTGTGTACTTCAGAACAACAATTTTTGTATTTTAACATGTAAATTTGCTTTAATAAGTATGTGATTTAATTTATACTAATTAGGTAGAAGGACATATTTTATATTTTATAATATTATATTATATTTTTTTTGTAGATTCGCTTGATAAGGGCCAGTAATTGATGGCCGAAACGTTGTGAGATATTGTTTACTGTATAATGTGCCAGTTTGGTCAAATTGAATAAAACTAAGATTGATATATATATACATATCCATACACAAACTATTTCATTTTAAAATATCTATATATAGATTTCTTGAACAATTTATTTTAGATGAAAACGTTTTAGAGAAATGTTGTATAATATCTAATAAAAAACAAGTGAACACTACTGACTTTTTTCTAAAGGGTGATTGTCAAAGTCACTTGAAGTTCATTTATGTCTTTTTTAATAAATCTACCTATATTTTATTATAAATCGATTTCTCGCAATATTCATTATCCGTATTAAGTTGTACGGATAAGAAAATCATAAAGAGAATATTTGACAGAATATTTTATATCTTTAACACATTATTCTACATAAACGTAAATATCTCATAAAATATTAATTTTTCGTCGATCTTGCCTCAATACTTTTGTATATAAAATGATGAAAAAACAATATTTTTGCAAAAAAAAAGACGTTGTTTTTAAGGAAAACTATGTAGCTGCTAGTTGCAAATTACATAGACACATATATATATTGTTTTATGTATAAATACTTAAAATATTAATTAAAGAATATGCATAAATACGAACAAACGTACATACGCGTGTGTGTGTGTGTGTGTGTGTGCTCGTATGTGTGTATTTTTATAAAAATAATATTTAATTAAAATCCAGATAAAGAATTAATTATGTTTAAACTTTACACATATTTTAAAATATTAATAGTTAAAAATTTACGCGGAGTATTCTATTATATTATATATACCTTTGATAGAATTGATAATTTCCAATGAAGTGTTAACTTGTGAAGTAGAATTCCACATATAATAACCATCTAAATTAAAAGAGTAATGTTGATTTTGAACAACAAATAAATTTATTATTCGATAATCTGGATAAATCTATAGAAAAAATTAATTAATATATAGATATAATTGTTCTGAAGAAACTTGCATTAAATACAAACTATTACCGTTACTTTATTGATAAAACAAAACACTTTATCATATAGAAAAACACATTAAAATAAATATAATAAGATCTAAAATTTTGTATTAATATAATCAGCAAATATTACATATTTTTTAAATTCTTGTCTTGTGATAGTATATTGCAGACTTCTCTTTATCAAATTTATTTAAATAAATATCATATATGTGTGTGTATGCGTACTAGCTTTTGATTAATTTATTTTATTTTATATTGCATAAAAATTTAAAAATATGTAATAAAGTAGTGTTAAAAAGTAAAAATATTTAATAAAATAAATTATAATTATGTAATGTATGTATGTAAACATGTGAAAAAAGTATTTTTTAAACAACAGTTAATTATATAAAATAATGCTAAATATGTTTTCAAGACAATTCACAACGAATGCATATAGATTTTGTAAAAAAGGTTTGATTTAAGAAAATCATGTAATATGAATGTTTAAGTATTATATCGTTTGCGAGAAGATGGGAGCGAGATAGAGTTGAAAATATTTAGAATAACGTACCTTATTGACAGCATATGTTGCAAGCAATGTAATAACACCCTTTTTAAACCAAAAATCCGACACGAACGGATTGTTTAACATGTTATTAAACCATTGCTGTGTCACTTTACGTCCTACTAATTGAGCTACTTCGATTTTGTGAGTAGTAGGATATACATTTTTATCGTAGATAATATCTGTTTCCCTGAAAGTTATATTTAAATGTTAAGACTCAGAACTTTTATAGAAAATAAAACTTTATTTTTGTTACAATATTATAATTTAAATATTATATGTACGATTTACAAACTTATAAGTACAATTGAGCAGTATAAATCGTACCAAATAATATTTTTCTTTTAATTTATAATATATATGTAACAACGATAAATTTCTGTTAATGTGTTTATCGTTGATAAAGAAATATAATTTAAAATAACTGACAAAATGTCATTTCATTTATAGCTATATTTGTAGTTTTAACATCTACCTTAGGCGGTAAGATTTAGCATACATACTTTATCCTTTATGTACGTATTAAAACGGTATACTTTAACTTTGTAATAGTATGAATAAATTTAATTCTACTAAAATTGTTTTCGCAATTTCTTATACTTTTGAACGTTTACAGAAACGAAAGATATACATTCCCAGCTAACCATTTGCTTGGAAATTGTTAACAATCGGGAAATAAAATACGACCAAATATGGCTGCAAATCCAGAGCCTACTGTGTCCTCGAGTGCGCTCCAATTGCAATCAAAAGTTGAAAGTATATCTTAATATCAAGTTGGGTGCAACGCCAGAGCACATCTGTCACTAACAGGGCGACGACAGATTGGCAACAGACTGGGAACGGATTTGTCGATCGTAAATTGAGAACGGATTTGCGCCAAATGCTCAGCAAGTCGAAGAAAAATCCTAGATTTGAAGGATCTGCTGCATTTTAAAATCAATCTGTTGTCAACACTTTCGACAGATCTGCTCTCTACTCATTGCCACTTTGTCAATATAGTCTGCTAACAGATGTTGGGAAATATTTACTGAATTTATGCTCACAGTGTTTGTAATGACAAAATATGTTTCTTATCTGCGGCCATTTTATACAAAAGTTGTTGCCTACATTTGCCTCCGCAGAAATGGTTAGCTGGGTTATTAATATATACAAAATTGGAAAGTTTGTATAAATTAAACAAATTATTTAAAACATAAAATGATATTTAGGCTAACTAAACAAGCAATAACTTTTAAGGTGTTATTTATTTATTTTATATACTTATAAATATTAAAAAACCGCAAACATTAAAAAACTGCAAACGTTTCGATTGTACTACAGTCTTCTTCAATACAATAATAATAACATAAATAATGATCGCAAAATGAAATTATAAAACTAATGTTTGCGGTTTTTTAATGTTTAAAATAAATAAATAACACCTTAAGAGTTATTGCCCTTAAGAGTTATTGTATTGAGTTATTTAGTTAGCCTAAATATTTTGTTTTATTATTTTATGTTTTAAATAAAAAGATATACATGTTTTTAAATTTTAGAATTTTGCATACTAATATAATTTTATTTTTAATGTAATTTTAAGTACTTGTACTCACTTATAAAAAACCAATCCAAAAACGATTACGTCATTGTCATGGAAATTTGGAATTGCAACATGAGTCACTTTCGAAATATTGTTGGGACGCTGTTTCCATTCATTTTTAAACCACAACGTGATATTTTTAATTACATTTCTTGCAAATTCCATGTGAAATCCAGATTCATTTCTGCAGCATATTTCAATGTTTCGAGTGTCATTATCAATACGTAATTGGTAATTAGACACAATCATTGTTGCAAGATAAGACGAAATTGCAGGTGTGGTATCAAAATGTGTCCATAACATATTATGCTCACTTTTTTCCGTATATCGCAATGGCATATTTGACAAAGCCGTACATTGATTACATCCTATAGATATGTTAAAGGTTGCTTCATGGAATAAATTCTGTTGATCCCAACTTGAAGACAATTGTCGGCTGCTTATTATATGGAAATGAGTAGCAGCTACCATACTATACATTTCAAAGAATATAAATTATTGATTCAGCAAACATAAAAATATTGGGAATTGAAAAACGTATAAATGTAATATGTAATAATATAAACTAAAGATAAGGATTGATAGTCTTTATATTTAAATTCCATGAATAATATATATATATTAATTACAATGTTTTATGTAATTGCACATTGTACTTTTTTATAAAAACATATATTATTTACTTACGCAATTTTTTTTTTCACGTCGAAAATACTAAAGACTTCATTAGCAGTACCATAATATTTTATATTTAAAATGTAATTTCCTGGTGATACCTCGTTGATAAAAAAAATATCAAGTATGTCTTCTTCAATATTATATGTTGGTTTATAAACTGTATCTTTATCATTCTCATCATATTTTGCTACATTTGTAAACAAAACTATATTTTTAATACTTAATTTTTCTGAATGTAGAAATATGTGTTGCGTTTTGTTAGGAATGCTTATGCTGATATTGTATTCTCCATAGAAAATATATCCTTCAATATATGATATAAGCTTGATGTCGTAATGGATTGGTTTTATATATTTTGCTGGTAGATAGCTGGTAGATAAAGATGATTGATTACAAATAGAAGTCGTCTCAGCGATAAACATTAATCCGCTACTTAATAATAGTTTTAGAAATATCATCATGTTCGAGAAGGAATATTTATTTTAGATCTGTAAAACAAACTCTAAACAAAAGATAGATATAAATATTAAATGCAGTTTTGATGTCTTTTTAAAATTTTTAAACAATACAAGAGCACGCTTTGCACGCGCTTTTGATATTATTTCTATTATTAATTTAACAATTATTGTTAAATTATTCATTTTCGTGATGACAGTTGCATGATGCTATAGATGTGATCATAATTTTAATTCGCCGCATTTTAATCATGTACATAATTTTAATTAGTCGAATTTCTATTTTAACAACTAATTTGTATACATACTATTTTGTATCTCTTTATCATATATTTTTTTTATTTTGTTTAATTTAATTGAATATACCCAGCTAAAAATGATAGTTAAATTGATGTCGAATCGACGTCAAATAGATGTCGAATTGGTCGAATCGATATCGATTCGACATCTTTTCGACCGATCATTTCTGACAGTAATTACGTGCGCGAAACGAAGTTAAATTAATAATCTTTAATAATAATATTTCAAATAGCAACGCAATAAAATATTATGGCAATGCATGCATAGAAATATATTTAATATAATTATTAATTACATGATTCATAAAAATTCAATATATACATTTTTAACGGAAAACAAAAAATATAATTTTCTACATAAATCTTTTGATCAAAATATATGCGCTTCCATTAGATTCGTGCGTCTGTACGCGTTTGCTACACTACATTACATGGCTCGCGCGAAATTGATCACGTGATCAGATTAGTACACTTTACACGTTCATTACGGTGCGCGGTTCGCACGAGATTGATTCTCATGCGAGATATCGCGAGTACGGGACCGATGGTTCCATTACATGTAGTTACGTGATCAGTATGTTCATGTGACTAGTCGATCTACTGATCACGTGACCTAGGCCACTCGCTCGCGATACCTCGAACGAAAATCGGTTTTGTGCGAGCCGCGCAGCGTGACAGATATATGGGGTATAAGTCTCGCGCAAGTCTAATGAAAGCGTACATATTTGAACACAAAAGATTCTTGTAAAAAATTTTATTTCTTTGTTCGTATGTTCTGTTAAATATTTAAATGAATTTTTATGCATTGCATAATTAATTAATATATTTTTTATGCATTGAATGCAAAAACAATTTTTGCATGCATGCGTTGCAATTTCTGAGATCTTAATGTTAAAGTATATATAATATAACTTCGCTTTGCGCAATTATATTCGGTTAGATTAAACGAAATGATATATATATATATATATATATATATATATATATATGTATATAGCACACACACACACACACACACACACACACACACACACACGCACGCACGCACGCACGCACGCACGCACATATTGCCGTCACACACACATATATATATATATATATATATGTATGTATATATATCAGTAGGATTTACTATTCATACCATAGAACTTTAATTTAAGGTTTAATTGCAAAGTTATATATATATAAGTGACGGCAAATTTGGGAACATGCAAATATAATGATAGCCTTCCTATCACTGTCGCGAAGAAAAAATCGACTCCAAATGATATCAGGAATCTACTATTAACAGGTTTACTACTGTTCTGGGACATCCTGTATATAATGGGTTTTTTTAAATATTTCAGATTGAACGCATCAATGTATCAAAATAGATGTGGAGTTAACAATTGTTTAAAATCTATAATATTATGGATTTTTTATTTGATTTACAATTAGAGAATGTTATATCATTTTACTCTATAATTTATAATTAATAAATAATTATTATAATTTTTAAGTACATTGACTTAACTTTATCATAAATTTATTTATTTGTTATTAAGTATTAAAGCTATAATCTTTATCAATGTTAATTTTATCAAATCTTTTTAATTAAGATAATATTTTTTATATTCTTACCATCAATATATATGGTATACATGTAACATTACACATTAAATTGTTTTTAATTATAACAGTAGAAATTAAATTTTAATCTTGGTATTTATAATATCGGCATTATTTGAAATTATCTCTGGATTAAAATTTAAAAATAATTTTAAATAAAACTATTCTGTTTATACTAATATGTTAGAATTCTTTGAAATTCCGTTATACTATATGATTAATTTTTTTTTTTAATTTGTAGACAAATATGATTTTATATTTTTAACTTATTTGACTTACCTAATATTTCGGAAATGTATGTTAAATGCAAAATTATATATTTTTTAAATTACAGCATCAAATTAATGCTTTAGCAGTCTGCAATGTTCGAAGAATATTATTATTCACACATGCTTTCTTACAATCATTATATCTACCACGATATGATTCGAAAGGCCACGAAAGACTGACTGATTCTCTGTACGGTGTCATCATGATAAATATGTGTTAGGTCAACAAAACTTCTGAGGTCGTTATTTATATATATGTATATACAGGGTGTCACATAATTGGCGCCCACTATTTACATAGCGATATTTCTCGTGGAAAACTGAGTCAACAAGTCCTGAGTCATTTTTTTTTCTATAATGCATAATATCGTTAATAATTTTCATTAGAATAATCTATATTTGATAGAAAAAGGCATGTCAAAGGCATGCTCGAAAGGATAGCGCCTTGTCATAAGCATAGTGCCTTGCATAGTGCACTCACGCTACACGCGATTCTTCCTTCCTTTTTACAGTATTTTATTTAATGTTAGAAATACTTACATTTTTTAATTATACATATATATATATATATATATATACATATATGCAAAAAATTATACGCAAATATGTGCATATATTACATACTAACAATAAGACCTTTTTCAGGAGCGAGAGAGAGTTGAAAATATTTAGAATGACGTACCTTACTGACAGCATGCATTACAAACAATGTAATAAGACCTTTTTTAAACCAAAAATCCGACACGAACGGATTGTTCAACATGTTATTAAACCATTCCTGTGTCACTTTACGTCCTACTAATTGAGCTACTTCGATTTTGTGAGCAATTGGATATAAATTTTTATCGTAGATGATATCTGGTTCCCTGAAAGTTATATTTAAATGTTAAGACTCAGAACTTTTATGGAAAATAAAACTTTATTTTTGTTACAATATTATAATTTAAATATTATATATACGACTAAACTCATAAGTACAATTTAGCAAATCAGTATAAATCGTACTAATAAATATTTTTTTATTTTTTAATTTACAATACGTAACAACGATAAATTTCTGTTAATGTGCATATCGTTGACAAAGAACAATAATTTGAAATAAATAAAAAATGTCATTTCTTTTATGGCTTTATTGCAGTTTTAACATCTATCTTAGGGGGTACGATTTAGCATACATAATTTACTCTTTATGTACGTATTCAAACGGTATACTTTAACTTTGTAATAATATGAATAAACTTAAGGGGATCCTAAACGGTTGGCCGAATTTCGACGGATACTTTGAGAAGTCTATCGTTTTTTTCCTCTTTTATTGACAAAATGTGAAGTTAGATAAACTATAAATCTATTTATTGGTTATATATATCGTTTTTTACCTAAAATTAGAACGCTTTCTCCTTTGTTAATATTAATACTTTAATTTATACAGGAAAAAGATTTATCAATCTGTGTAATCTCATATATCTTGATTACAGAATTATGAATTCTTAGCATTCATAATTCTGTAACCAAGATATATAAGACTATACAAATTCTCTTTCTAAAAAAAACATGCAAAATTGATTATCGCAAATATTGTTGCTGCTTTTCCGCGATGCTGATTATGGCTGTCTCGATTAACATTGTGTGCTATATTAATAGCATCAAACAATTGCCATCGTGAAGGTTAATAGTTTGATAGTTGTAAAATAAAATATAAAACTATCGTTAATAACACGCACGAAGCGCGCGCTTGTGTTGTCTGCTACATAACAAAAATTCAAAAATGAAAATTATTTATAATTAAAATTATGTACGTAATAGACATACAAGAATAAAAATTAAAATATAAAATATATGATAAAATATAAAATTAAAATATAACTGTGTTATATAATATACTGTAGCATCATTTATACCTGCATTATTTTTTAATGAAAATTATTGAATTGTATTTCTCGTACTAGTAATCTATTATCAGTTTATACTAATAATAATTTGCTATCATAATTAAACTTTATAACAAAACTGAGTTTGATTTAAATACAATTACTTCTACTTGTAACTTCCTATTTTATTAACAAATCTGCTTATAAATTCTAAATTTTTGTAGTATTAATATACATGTATATCATTTCATTTAATCTAAAGACGAGCTCTTCGACTTTGGGAGTCACGAAAACGTGGAAAATCTTATTCTAAAAAACGCAACCATCAAACGCAGCTATCGATCTACATTTACAGACATTTTCTAAAAATATATTAATTTAGAAATCCTATCTCTTCGTAGAAATCAATGGCTTGCAAACTCTTATCGAGGAAATTCTTTTCCCAAAACTGAAAATCCTAGAGCTTTCCAGCAACAACATACAAGATATTAATTTCTTAGAGTTGCTGCCAAATTGTGCTTGTACTTTCTCGATCTTCACCATAACTCTCTCGCTTATTTGGCTTTTGTCAGAAACAAATGAACTTATTAGCGTTAAACTTGGATAACAATAATCTGAGTGAAGAAGTACAATGATTCGCGTGATTTGTCATCCGATTTGTATAGTCCGCACAATCAATATAATCGATATTAATTACGAATATGAAAGAAAAAAATAACATTAATATATTTCGCATAAGAATTAGCGTAATTTTGATCTAGTCATGGATAGCCTGGAAAAACTGCACTACTTCTTCATTTCTGGAAACAAGATTGATTTCGTGGAATTGGACGCTTTCGATGACATCAACAAGTTGGTCTATTTGAACTTATCCGTAAATAATATAAATGACTTGTATTTGGAGACGTTTGAAAAATTGCAGTGCTTGAGATTGATCAATTTGAGTCGCAACAAGCTCGAGGATGTTCCGCGAATTTTGAGTAAGACAGTGATCAGCATTCTGGCTCTTAACTGTAACAATGTTAAGAGTTTAATTGCAAACGCTTTTGTGGAAATGCCAAACTTGACAAAATTATTATTGAAAGTGAATCAAATCGTCGAGATTAATGTTAAAGCATTTGCTCAACTTTCGTTTTTAGAAGTATTAGATCTTTTGAAGAACAAATTAAGTTTTCTACCGAAAGAATGGAACGAGTCTTTCATGTCTTTAAAATATTTAAATTTGAACAATAGTCAATTTACTTCATTAAAGTTTTTATCTTTGGCAAGTGCATTATTATCATTGATCGAGGTGAATCTGGCGATAAATCCATTGAAATTTAGATGTTAGCTATTTCAAGAACTTGCCGCAGAATCTTATTGTAAAAGTGCAGGGATTAAGTTTTGCATACTGGAATTTCAATAAATGCAAGTCAAATTAATACTGTTAAATCAAGTAAAATTATACTGTAAATGTGTTATTTTTTTATAAATTTAACGTTTAATTTAAAAAATTCTAGATTTTTTATATTGAACAGCTTAAACGTATCCTATTGACACTTACATAAAAAGACAAAGTTTATTATTACATTATATTATATTATATTAATTATTATATCTGCATAATATTTCTTTAAACTTAAAATTCTTTATACTTAAAATTTTATTTATATGAGTGTATATATTTATATTCTATCTTACGAAACTAATTTGATTTGCACTTATAGTAGTAGAACGGGAATAAAATATTTTTCTTTCTTTTATCTATTTCAAATTTTTTTCAATTTTTAAATTTTAAGTTCTTCTTAAATTTCTTGCGCATGGTGTAAAAAATCCCTTTGTATAAATCATTTCTTTCATGATTATCATCTTTGTAACCGATATCAACCATGAATATTTTTTATTCTTGTATGCAATAATTATGTACGGTATTTTATGTAATATTTCCATATACCATACATATATATAATGACTTAATAATGTAAGACAATGTGTATTACATTTACTTTATACTTTATGAAATTAAATATTATAAAACAGAATATTTTGATTAGTAAAATACTCTATTTCTTTCAAGTATGTAATGTATGTTGTATATGAGCAAGGATGTTATCTACAAAAATGTATAAATTAAAATATAGTAACATATAAATATGTTTAATTTATAAAACTTTTAACAAAAAAAATGTATATTTGCATAAAAACGTTCTTTATCATTTAAAATTTGTTTACTTTATTATAAAAAACGACTATTTTTCTTAAAATTTAAGTTTATTCATAGAATTGGATCTATTAACCTCGGCATCTGATCAATAATTTTCCTTGTCCGACTAGTTTTATTTTTCATGCATTAAAAACATTACTTTTTCATATAAATTATATGTATATTTATTGTCACATAATATATATATTATAATTATATATATTATATAATTATAAATTATATTTATAAATATAATTTCTATAATTTATAAAATATATTCTCATAAATTATTTATTGCTAATTTATGGTTGCCTCTGTGAGTTTGCGAAGAAAAATAACTGTCGCTGTGAATAACGAGCGTCATGAGGCGGATAAAGCGGGCGTATAGTAGTGTATAGGGATATTTTTAATTTATTTCTAAAAAATGTGACTTTGGAATACAACTTTATTATGTATAATTGAATTTGTCGTTGAATGATCTATAAGTTTTGTTATGAGAATTTAAAAATTTTCAAACATTGAAAAGGAGGGAGAGAGGGACGAAAAAAGATTATAGAGGGATTTAAAAAAATACGTGTCTCCTATTTTGATCTAGACTACAACATATTCAAAGCTCATTAAAATCGGAGGGGGACACTTCCAACCCTTTCCTTGTCAGATGCATGCATTTTCTTATTTTTCTTTTTGTACATATACTACAAATAATGAAACTTTTAGGTCTTATCCATAAAAAAATTTACTTTCTAATAGATTTCGATTTATTTTATTGAATATATATTATAATGAGCCAAGTTGATGATTACTTTTATGTTGTGCCATCCGGGTCATGTAACTCGAGATATAGAAAATATATTTAACATAACGTGTTCATTATCGCTTGGTTTTAATCTTTATCATAACAGCATAAGTCCAGTATTCAAAGAGCAGTTATTGCGAGAAGTATACAGAATATAATATCATTGGATTAATATTTAAATATTATTTTGAAGAAAGCAATTTATAAAAATGGTACGTTTAATTTTTATATTATTTTTTAGAAAATTTAATATGAATATTATATTTTTAATTATTTTATAATAAGAAAAATGTATTTTTATAATCTTTTGTTATAATAATTATTATGTAGTTTTTAATAATGTATACATATATATGTGTTCTAGCAGCACATAAATAAATTAATTAATATAATATTATATAGATTAATATAAAGATCAATATTATAATAATTATTAAAATTTTTAATTACTATATCATAATTATTATATTATTTCTTATAATGAGGCGCATTTTAAAAGTAAAAACCTATTAAACGTTAAAAAATGCAAATAAAGAGAGAACATTACTTTTTTATTACTAATACAACATTTGTATATCTATTTTATTTTTCTATGTAGTCACGGCGGATTTTTATGTAGAGACGTAATTCGTTATTTTCCGCACATGCCACATAAGATACTATTATTACTCAAAAAAAGTTAAGGAAACAATGGACTGTGTATAAAAGAAAAGATGTACCAGTTAAAAAATGTTCTGTCTTTTATTTATTTATTTTTTAATTTATAAAGTCTGATCGTGCCTTTCTTCAAAAATGCGCATGTGTATATAAATTTTAATTTTTTATTACCTTACATAATTTTTTTATTATAATTATAATTATACAGATTTTTATCATTATAATGTTAATTACTATTAAAATATAATTTCGTTTATATTATTCTGATATAATATTAAAATTTAAAATTATTTTATGCAACCGGCGCGCGAAAAGTCGCCCTTTACGCACATGATGGGATTTTAGAAAAGGCTCCCTTTCCACGCATCGGTCACACAAAATATCGTAGCCAACATGTGCGGGTCATAAATCGGCCGATCGTGCGGATTGTCGACCGATTTACGATCCCCCGCACTTGTTAGCTAATATACTATTACTTATATTTTTAAAACATATTTTTATTATATTTATTACAGAGATCCAATAACATGAAGTTTTCTTTCATTATTTGTGTCTGCTGGTCTACGTTATTATTAACAGCCAGTGATATTCCAACCAGCTTCGAATTTCCAACCTTGATAAATGAACATTTGTGCAACGATGATATTTCACTAAACTTTTCCAATGCAATAATTACATCTATTGGTCAGAATTTTATCAGTAGTCCTCTGATATCTTGTTTGAGCATCACAAATACTGGCATCCAGAGCATCGAAAAAGGCGCCTTCGACGAACTACCTAATTTAACTCAACTATTAATTTCTAATAACAATATCAACTTGGATCAACTTTTTAGCTTTGGGAGTCATAAAAACTTGAAGATCCTTATTCTGAACAGCTGCAATAATAATGACCTATCTACAATTGACATTTTGGAAGAATATCCCAATTTAGAATTCTTGTCTCTTCGTACAAATCATATCAAGGATTTGCGAACTTTGAAAGAAGAAACCCCATTCCCGAAACTGCAGAAATTGGATCTTTCCAACAACATTATAGAAGGTACCAATTTTGTAGAATTGCTGCCAAATAGTTTATATTTTCTTGATTTGCACGATAATTCGCTCAATTCTTTGGCTTTTGATAAAAAACAAGTAAACTTGTCAACGTTAAATTTGGATAACAACAATCTGAAATATGTAAAGAAATATAATGATTCGTCTGTTCCGCATAATTTGCAACGTCAATATAATCAACAACAATATGATCCATATAACCAACATTATCAATATGATCAATATAATCCACATAATCAATATAATCAATATAATCAATATGATCAATATAATCGACATAATGGTAGATTGGACTTTTATGGGAGAGAGAATGATAATCCGCAAAATTTTGGTCTAGCAATGTTTGGTTTAGAAAATCTGCATTATCTTTCCATTTCTCAAAACAAAATTGATTTCATCGAATCAAACGCTTTTGAGAACACTAGCAAGTTGATATATTTGAACTTATCCAAAAATAATATAAGTTACCTACATGCAGAAACATTTGAAAAATTGCAATCTTTGAGATTGCTCGACTTGAGTTTCAACAAGCTCGAGGATGTTCCACAGATCTCGAGTGAAACAATTATCAGCATTCTGTCTCTTAATTGTAATAATATTAAGAGTCTAAGTTCGAACGCTTTCGTGCAAATGCCGAAATTGACAAAATTGTTGTTAGGAGGGAATGAGATCGCCGAGATTAATGTTAAGGCATTTGCCCGAACTTCGCTCTTAGAAATGTTAGATCTGTCAAAGAACAAATTAAGTTTTTTACCGGAAGAATGGAGTGAATCTTTCACAACTTTCAAATATCTGAATTTGAATGATAATCAATTTACTTCATTAGAGTCTTTATCTCTGACGAATGCATTGCCATTGATAGAGGTGCATCTGGCGATGAATCCACTAGAATATTTAGATGTTAGCTACTTCAAAAACTTGCCGCAAAATCTTACTGTGAATTTGATGCAGGAATCACATTTTGCTAAACACTGGAATTCCAATGCATGCGAATCAAACTAATATCTTTAAGTTAAAATTACAATACTATAGATATTATATATTTCTCTATAAATTCAAATTTTTACAAAATCAAAAGCTTAGGTTTTATATAAAACAGCTTAAATCCGGCGGCTATATAAAATATGAATTTTTATTATTGTATTATATTACATTATAATATAATTATATTTACATATACATTTGCATATACATTATATTATATTATATATCAATTATTATATTTACTATATTTAATAATAATGTTTTTATACTTGAAACTATTCATTTTTATATACGAATATACATTTATATAGGTATATATATATATATATATATATATATATATATATTTGTATGTGTGTGTGCAAGCATTTTTGTGTAACAGTTGTCCTAATTAAACATATTCAAATTTTGTCCAATTAATCAAATAAATGTTTTTATAATTCAATCAACCCAATCCAAGGAGAACAGAAAAGTCAAAATGATGTTAATTTGACTATATCATTTTTTGGTCATGGAAATCTCGATCTCGAAGATGGCTAAAAAATGACTTTTTTATTTTTTTAATTTTTAGAAAATGTGATGTACGTATCTCAACTGTGTATATACAATGCTTATTATTATGCAGATAATTAAAGGTTAATGTTTTTTATTCAGATATTATTGCAGTTTGCAGAAGAATTGAGTTATTGTATTAAAAACTAAATTGTTGATTAAAATATTATTTTAAACGGCTTACGTCTTAAATTTGCATCTCAATTATTTTCAATACAAATCAATAATTTTTTATCATTGTAAACATCAGATCGGGTTGCTACACAGATTGTTACAGATATTTTTGGAACAACTTCAATAATTATTTAGAAGACGTTCCCTTACAGTAGCGGATTGAAATGGTTTTAACTCGATGGATGTC